TTCAGGGGTGTAGCTGCGCTATTAGGCATACGTGCGCGCGTGCATGCTGTTTGCACGCCTTCAGAGCACACAGGTGCACGGACGTGCACGGACGTGCCCTTGAGCAGAGCTGTTTGACTTTGGCAGCCGCGGCTTTGTCTCAGAGAAAACAAACTCGATTACAATCCTGCTCAGATGGTCATCACTAGTTTGTGTGATTGAATAAGACTTCAGAGACATTAAAGAGATTTGCACTTGTGCGATGATGAGGTCCAACGTGCAGACAACCATTGAGGGAATGAAATAAAGGTTTAGATGAGAGGATGAGAAAAGATGAGAGGAGGAAGATGAAGAGGAGCAGAAATGACCTTGCAGAGGCCAGGTAAATGGATGTATCATAATATATATGACTTCATGCATTATTGACAATAGAATTATAAGCTGCAGGCAACGTTTTCTATTGCAATAATCTCCAGACTGTTTTGAGGCGCAGCTAAAGAAAGTGGGTGTAAAGACAAAAAAAAAGCATTGCTCTTTAAAATTCAGCCCAGAAGGATTGGGCGCTGAGGCACTACAGAGGACAGATCTGAGAGTCTCAGATGAAGAGAAATCTTGTCCGTGCTGTATTTTTTGTGATATGTATCTGCTGAAATAAGATGCCTCTGGCAAAAAGAGGCTTCATATATTTAGTTTAACCTGTAGATCCAGACATATGAGAATCGCTCCGAAAGAATGATGGTAGTAAAAAAAATACATCAAATATTTGCAGTTCTTGATATCAGAATGATTTATTACATGGCTGTGCTCCACAGGCCACTGGACCCAGACGTTGATCATTCTGGGTTTCTGTTGGGTTGCTGTGTGGTTTTTAGGAGTTTGATATATTTTTGTTTTTCCCCATAAAATTGTGATAAATTGAAATGACTTTTTCAGAAAACAAAACTTGGAAATATGGTCAATTTTGACTTATGTATTATAAAGTTTTTTTCACTTGCACTATTAATAACATGGAGGCCTCTTGTCTGAGTCTCGTATAGAATTTTCTATTGAATAAATAAACATGTTTACGTTGCTGTTCAAACTTTGTCAGTGTAACCAGCAGGAAACCAACATTAAATATGTATTTTTATATTATCTTAGTAGTATAGTAGTGTCATTTTATGTAGTATATGCAGCACCTAAAAGTGTTTGTCAGTAAGTATGATGGACTAGCAGTTACCTTATTTAAAAACGGAGAGTCAGAACGAGAGACGGAGGAAGAAGGGGAGCGAGACAGAGAGAACAGTTTAAACCCACAAAGGTGTGAGGTTTATTTATCACACTGTGTGGGTGGGGGTGTGTATACAGTATGTGTCTGCAAAGGTTCAGCTAATATAGGGATTTTCTTAAAGTGTAAATGTTCTGCTGTTCTGTTAGGATAATTATAGCCACTAAATGCATGATATTGAATCATTTTAAAGCTAAAAATATGAAACACCACCAGTTATTTACATTTTTCACGCTTGAAAAATCAATGTGAAATTGTTATTTTATGGAAGCACAGTTCCTATGTGACCCACTTTAATTTAAATGTTTTTGGTAGCTCCTTTTTAATGTTAGGTGAACTGAATAGAATTTATCAACCATCAGCACATAATCAAAGGCAATTCATGGAATCAGCCGCACTCACTGTGATACTCGTGTGTGTGTGTGTGTGTGTGTGTGTGTGTGTGTGTGTCCAGATAGTGCTGTTAAAGTTCATCTTTTGTGACCACACCCATCATTCCTTCAGCAGATATCTGCAGTCCAACACTGGCCACATACAACTGTTGTAATTACTGTGTCTGTAGTTAATCTGCAGACGTGAGATAACACACACACACAGGCTTTAAACCAGTACAACATGTCAACAAATTTTCATACATAACTTCTGTTTTGAACCTTTGACCTACTTTGAATTAAATATTAATTATTTTTTATTCCATCACACCATGTTTTATATATTTGTGTTCTTTTTATTAGCGTGCTGAATTTTTGATTTGGGATGTTCTCATTTCTTACTGCAGTGCTGTTCCCCCTGTGGCTGTAAGGCTGAGTGTGTGTAAAATCCCTAGATCACACAGAGAATGACTGAGAATATTGAGGACTTTTTGCAGTTTGTCCAAACATCAGTGTGTTTCTCCCTAAATAAACACAAACAAGTCCAAAATTAGTTACATCGAGGGCAACTGGACGGAGTAGGATTCTTGGATGAGAGGTGAAACGTCTTCAAGAAACCTACTCCGTCCAGTTGCCCTCAACGTAAATATTTTTGGAGAAGATGACCTGGAGGACTGAGAACCTACACAGACATGTTTAACAAACATGCACATTTAATTTTTTTTTTACAACTTTCTCTACATCTTTACAAGCTACTACTACATGGACAGACTGTAATTGTCTGTGGTCTTTTGCCACATACAAACTGTCTCTTAATTCACATAATATCTGTACAGTTTTAATTGTCTGTTTTTATTCCCTTGACTCAACGTCTCTTATATATATATATATATATATATATATATATATATATATATATATATATATATATATTACACACACACACAGACACCCACACACACTTTTCTCCAAAGGTCTGGATGTTAAATCCACTTGTCAGTGTTGCATTATTCATGAGCTGTTGCAGATGTAACCTTCATGGGAGAAACTTTCCCTCTTGCATTTCAAGGTATTGTGTTTTATACAGGACACACACTTGAAGTGAGTAACAGTTTGTGCCTCATGAGTGTGCAAAGCTGTTCATAAACTTTTTCTTAGCAGACGTACTTGCCCTTGTTCATTTACGTTCTTACTTCATTCACACATTGTGGATAATAGCTTTGTCCCCCATCAAACCTGGATGTGAATAAACCTGCCGGGAGATGTTTAATTTAATTTTCTCTGATTCTTTTGTGCTAAATCCATCATTGCTACAGGACTAGGAGAAGGTAGAGACGGGGTGTGGATTTGAAGTTAATGGTGGTATTGAAATGCTAATGAAAATGAGTTGGATTTGGAAAGAGGGAATTCCACTGCTGGGATCCGAC